TTCCCTCTTAATATGGCCTTTATGGCGCTCCCGCGCAGGCGGAAGCATACCTAGCGTGATGGCTGTGTCGAGTATACGCGTGTTGAGTGATTACGGCGCCAGCCATCTACACCCTATCTCATCCCCGGTCTTATTGATTTTGTCTTTACACCGGAAATGGAGGTGGGAGTACCGAGCAAGTGGGTAAATTCTGCGCGAGTCTGCCTAAACTCCTGTTCTCTCTCTCGTGCTAGTTCTCTACGTTGCCTCTGCTTGCTGTAGCCTTAGTGTCGCTTGCCCAGCTCGCCTCAGTGTCTGTTGCAGCTTGCTTCAGCGTTTGCTGAGGCTGTTGGAGCACGCGGTGCCCATCCTCAAATTGACGGGGGAACTGTTCTGAGGTCAAGTGATTTACGGTTAGGCTGGCTTCCTTCCAAACAATGAAAGCAGTCAGGTGATAGGACAGTAGAGAAACACACACACGCGCATGCCAGTGCGCGCGCGAGCATACAAAGTGAGCGTGGTACGGACACACGCGCATCGAAGGCGCAGAAGGCGTTTCAATCTGACCCCTGCGACCAATGATAACGGAGATGCACACAGAGACGGTCATCACTTTTATTAAGTATACAGATGTCAACAAGTTTTCAGTCAGGAAAAGATAGACCGTCACATAGTGCAGTTGTGGTGCAAGGTTAATTTGTCACATAGCTTATGGTCTGCTGTAGCATGTGTATGTCAAGTCGGTGTTAGAATGTTTCAACAGATTGAGACATAAAAATCGCCTCGGGAAGGTAAGTCCACGGGTCCACGATCTGATTAGAGAAAAAAATACTTTCTAACATCCAATTGTCCTTGGGACACATAAACTTTGAAGGGATGTCCCCGGAGATTAGTTTTAGTTTCGAGTTGGAAAATCTTCACACCTGAGAGCGCAATCCAAGCCACGCACGATACGGAAGGTTTGTATAAAATCTCCGCGTAACTGCCTTTAACTCAGAGGATAGAGATTAAGGTTATTGAGGCAAATCTCATATGGTAGTGAACCTTGGCCTCTTACTAATTTTGTGGCCTGCCGCTGCACCCTTTCAAGCACTTTATTATCCTATCGCATCCGCGGTGTACAGGCTTGAATTGCGTATTCAAGATGTGGCCTTATGAAGGTTCCGAAGATTTTCGAGAAACACTCTTCGTCAAAAACTGCGAATGCCCGCTTGATGGCGTACAACTCTGAAGTTGCAGTTTTAGCCGCCTTACAAAATTCTTCAGAAGGTTTGAGGTTGTCTGTCATCCAAATGAACGAATATGACATACGCAGAGATAAAACGCCAATGAAACTTCGGGTTTTACCCAAATTAGCAATGAAGGACATTAGCTCTACGTCAAAAATTCCGTAATTTGTCTCTGAGGCCGGCCCTCCCGCTCAGGTAAGCCCACGTCCCTCTGGATTAATGCCAGCTTAACCTGAATCTTCTCTTGTTCACCTTACTCCTGATTCACGTAAAATCCTAGCAACCCTAAGTCGTTCCACTTTTAATCCAACCACACCTGTGATAGCTTTAAATTCGGGTAAACCTAACAATGAACCTAGCCAATATACGAGAGTTTTCAAATTCAGCAATTTGATTACTGCTTACACTTCAACATCTACAACAGACGTAAACACTTAAGGTAGCACTTTTCCTAACGCCTAACCTCTTTAACATCCTTAAATAATTGTGATGGCTAATCATTTTCACAGATTTTCAAGACCATTCATGCAATTTTCAAATGCAAATTTTCCGGCAAATTATGCTATAATGACTTTAAAATCCTATTTTCATGCCCCCTCCTATTTTTTCTGATGTCACAATTTAGCCGTCCCTTCTACGGACCCCCCCCAAATATACCTATGTACAGTAGTCATAGTTAATTTAATAATAATAACTCGACACACTGTATACCAGGGCCTGTATGCTTTCCAACTTTTGTTTCTCCTCTGCAGTTTCCCTTTTTTTATAAATACTGACGAGCATAACCTGTATCTCAGTAATACGCTCAGTGTAGCTGCATTAAATGCAAGATTAATTGTTAACAAGATGACAGAACTTAAACCAGTAGCATTTGAGTTTTATCCAGATGTGCTCTGTGTCACCGAATCTTGGGCTTACTCTCCTATTTCTGTATCGACGCTCACTATATATAATTGTATTTTGTACCAAAAAGACCGCAATGAAAAGCGTTGCGGTGGGTGCCTTCTTTAGATTAAATCGCCTTTTGCAAATTTCCCGTTTCGCCTGAGCATTTCGTCATTTTCTGGAAATGTTTACTTTATTTCAGTCATCCTTCCGCAAAAGGAAAAAGTGATGATTAGTATGTCGATAATCCCCATGTAAATCGGGCAATGAAAGTCAGCTCTGTGAAATGTTTGAAAAAGTCGCAGTGACTCAAATTTGTTTTAAAATAATCCTAAGTGATTTTAATCTGCTTGACCTTGACTGACATGCAAATAAGTGTCCGCCGAAACTTCAGAAAATGGCCGACACTATTAACTTTTCAAATATGTCACAACTGGTCAGTTCAATGACTAGAAATGAGAACTTAGAAGATGTAGTTTTTACATATGATTAAGTCATAGGAATTCCTCCAGGTCTGTTGCTCAAGTCTTCCGTCTTCGGTCGTTGACTGTGTTTCAGAAAGTTATTGCGTCCTTATTATATAGCAACAATCATTTTTAGGACATATTAGCGTAAGACAGAGAATCCAGAATGACCATTTCTGCCACATTAGGCGTTGTCAGCTGGATATACTCTACTCAAGTGTAGCAGCGGAAATTGTCGCCATTCCCGAGTTTTGAACCCGCGTCTCTCCTGTCAGAGGCGAACGCTCTAGCCATCGAACCATCGGGCTCGACGTCTTGACGGTAGGTGATCGGGACTATACATTAGTAGATTGGCGTACACCGATCAGAAACAGGGCACATCCGCTCTGGGTTTTGATGTCCTTGTGTGGCTTCTGCACCCACGAACCCTGCCACATGGCTAATTGTAATGTTTCTTGGTAAGTTGCAGTCAGGGCTGCTGTGCCCTCTTTCTGCTAGGTGTACGCCTATCTATTAATGCATAGTCCCGATCAACAACCGTCAAGACGCCGAGCCTGATGGCTCGATGGTAAGAGCGTTCGCCTCTGACCAGAGAGACATGGGTTCGAAACCCGAGAGTGGCGGCAATTGCCGCTGCTACACTTGAGTAGAGTAGAATCTGAACTCGATCTTCCCCGACATCCAGTTCACGACAGATGAAGGAAAAGACTGCCAGTTGCCGTTCCTCGACGTGCTGGTGTACAGAAACGAGGGTGGGGAACTCAAAACAACACTTTACAGGAATGCGACAGATACCTCTCGCATCCTGAGTTACCTTAGCAACCATCCCGACTCGCACAAACGTAGCTGCGTGCGAGCGGTATATCGGCGTGTAGAAACCCATTGCAGCTCACCAGCTGACAAGAAGGCTGAGATCCAGTATTTGCGGAAAATTTTCACTATGAATGGCTATCCTCAAGCATTCGCCGAAAAATGCAGGCGAGGAGCCA